AAACATAGCACCTCGCCAACCTAACCTTTCCAGTTTTAAATCCCTGGTACATAGCACTCTTCTCATTTTGTTGAAATTTGCTCTAGCCTTTTCTATTCTGATTTTGATTTCCTGACTGTAATCATTTTTGAAGTTAATCTTTGGTCCCAGATATACGTATTGGTTTACTGATTCGACGTTGGTTCCGTGTATTAGCTCGTGCTGAGCTTTCGAGTTTATTTAACTCTCTTTTAAAACATATCTTGTGAGGATTGTATTGTAAAATTAGCTAAATTACTTAACATATTAACATTAAAATTAATAATGTCAATATGTTAAGTAATTTTGTGAATTTTACAATACAATCCTCAGAAAGGAATGTTTTGAAAAAGAGTTAAATACACTCGAAAGCTCAGCAAACTTTAAAGAGTTTGACTTAAAGGCCAATATTGACTACAAGACCAAAGATATCCGTATATATTAATAATCACAATTAATACTCACATAGTCACTAAAGCCCTTTCTAAGAAATATATATATATATATATATATATATATGTAATGAATACTGGATATTCGTGACTGTCAATTTAAACAAACAACAAAGTTTATTGGGGCTGCAGTCGTTTCCTACATCTTCTTGGTGTGTCTTAACTTTTAAAGAAGTTAAAACACACCAAGAAGATGTAGAAAACGAATTTTTAGAACTTTTATTATTTTTAACTAAATTTTAAAATGTATTATGTCCATTATTGTATAAGTTATAGTGTATATGTTTGTTATTAATGTTGAGTGTCATAGCTTCTTACAAATAATCTCAACGACTATGTCTTGAAAAAGGAATTAAACAATTCCGAAAGCTAGACCAAAAGTCAAAAGATTGTTTCTGTAACATCTCGGCCAAACTTCTGACTGCAACCCCAATAAACTTTGTTGTTTGTATATATATATATATATATATATATATATATATATATATATATATATATATATATATATATATATTATAAGGATCACTCAGAAGAGTTGTGGGTTCTTTTATCGGTCTCAAGGTGGAGAAATAAAAGACAAAGTTGATAGGCTACTTTATCTATTTTGAAGACGTTTCGCTTTCGTATTCTGAAAGCATCATCAGTTCATCTTAAAAAGACATGTAGCAGTCAAAGTCATTTGATCAAATAGTTGGAAGTAAATCTATGATTTTCTTGGTTCTTTTTCACTACTTAAGATAAAATAAAATATTACTAATACTTTAGACCACATGGTCAGTTGCTGTGCTAATTTTTTAATAAGTTGCTAAATGTTGTTAGTTAATTGATTGTTTATACAATACTGCCGTATAATTTACCATTTACTTGAGTTTTATTCACAAACTTGTTAATATCTTTGACTGCTACATGTCTTTTTAAGATGAACTGATGATGCTTTCAGAATACGAAAGCGAAACTTCTTCAAAATAGATAAAGTAGCCTATCAACTTTGTCTCTTATTTCTCCACCTTGAGACCGATATAAGAATCCACCACTCTTCACTCATTGGATTGACGGTCGTACTCCTTTTTCCGATATATATATATATATATATATATATATATATATATATATATATATATATATATATATGTATATATATAATAAGGATTACTCAGACGAGTGGTGGGTTCAAATATCGGTCTACTAGGTGGAGAAATAAAAGACAAAGGTGATACTACTTCATCTATTTTGAAGACGTTTCGCTATCGAATTCTGATAGCATCATCAGTTCATCTAATGCTATCAGAATTCAATAGCGAAAAAGTCTTCAAAATAGATGAAGTAGTATCAACTTTGTCTTTTATTTCTCCACCTAGTAGACCGATATTTAAACCCACCACTCGTCTGAGTGATCCTTATTATATATTGGATAGACGGTCGTACTCCTTTTTGCCATATATATATATATATATATATATATATATATATATATATATATATATATTGTTATGATTGTTTATTTTAAGTTCAAACTTAGTTTATTGTGCCAATAAAAAAGAATTATAACTTATTTGTTATCAAAGGTAAAATAATCCTTATATTACCTGTGTTCGATGGATTCAGAAGATTTTCTAGTTGTCTTTTATCGGGATAGAGAAGAAAAGGATAAGAATACAAATATATTATATTACAAAGATTTACGTTTCTTTATTTTATATAAACGAATAAAACAATTATTAAATTCTGTCGTTATCTTATCAATCAGCATACAAGAAAATAGATCAAATTATTATGATAATAAGATTATAAAGCTACATACATTTATATTACGTGAAAAACCAATTTTACTTAAAATTTTCTTTACTTGAAAAAAGAAACCACAAAACTTTAAACTTTTGATTAGCCTAACAAAACCTCAGTTCTTAAATTTTAATGATAATGACCATGATGTCGAAACGATCCTCCACAGATATAAAATTCAATTGTACAAACACTTACAGTTTATTTTCTTCTTGAGTTGTATGTTGGAACATACCCAGAAAAGTCCAGTCTCCTCAAATATGTGATCTCCCCTCTTTGGCACCTCGGCTCCTTCTTTACGTCTCTGCAAACCTCCTTCAGACTACACAAAAAACACCTGATTCACTTCTCCAAACTCCGCTACTTATTTATGACACCAGGACCTCCTTTTGTCAACTCGCTGCCGTAAGAATACTTTCACAAATACTTTATAAAATGCCCACGGTAGATACATGGACCTCTTTTAATCCACTTGTTATCTCCTTCTTCAAACTATTCACTTCTTTTCGTTACGCCGGTATCCAAACTCACGAACTACACCCTATCTTGAGACAAACGACTGTTTTCTTTCGATGACCAAAATATGACTAACTTCTCCTCTCTCATGATCGACTCACCAAATTCCCATTTAATAACGACCGTCCAATCAAAAAGCTTAAATTGTGTTTACCATGATTTTGGAAAAGCCTAATTTCGGTCTCAGAGAAAACTAAATAGCTTACTTTAAAATTGGTTGTTTTTCAATACATTATTTATACATATTTCAAAAGATTAAAATATGGTCATTTAATACTCGACTATACAAACAATGAAAAGATTAACTTACAGGTAAAATGTCTTCTAATTCTAAACAAAGGTTTTTTGATAATTTTGTAAAAGTATGACATATATATATATATATATATATATATATATATATATATATATATATATATATATATATATATAATAAAGTTTTATTTTGAGGATGCAGTCATTTAAGTAGGCAGGATAAGTAAAACTCTTTGTTCTTAAATTAAGCTTTCGCAAAAATTTATTTGCTTCATCAGGATATGCTAAAATATGTTATGGTAAATACAATGAAATTAGAATTAAAAAAACATTGTATAAAAATATATAAAAACTTACAACATGAGGTTAAACCATTAAATTATTAAATTCACAAAACATTATTAATTTTTCCTAAATTATATTTTTATGCAAGTACAATATTTTAATTTTAAATATATTATGACATTGATTAATAATGATGTTTGATTTATGTCAGAAAGACACTCGTGTCTGTTTTTATTATTGATAATTAGCTCTAGATTTTTATTACGCTTACGTAAAAAGTGGCGCCAAATATGAATATTTAAATTTTTGAAAATATAGTATTTATAGTCAGAAAATCATATATTAGAAAATTAAAGTATTAATATATGATTTTCTGACTATAAATACTATATTTTCAAAAATTTAAATATTCATATTTGGCGCCACTTTTTACGTAAGCATAATAACAATCTAGAGCTAATTATCAATAATAAAAACAGACACGAGTGTCTTTCTGACATAAATCAAACATCATTATTAATCAATGTCATAATATATTTAAAATTAAAATATTGTACTTGCATAAAAATATAATTTATGAAAAATTAATAATGTTTTGTGAATTTAATAATTTAATGGCTTAACCTCATGTTGTAAGTTTTTATATAGTTTTATACAATGTTTTTTTAATTCTAATTTCATTGTATTTACCATAACATATTTTAGCATATCCTGATGAAGCAAATAAATTTTGCGAAAGCTTGATTTAAGAACAAAGAGTTTTACTTATCCTGCCCTACTTAAATGACTGCATCCTCAAAATAAAACTTTATTTTACATAACGTGTCAGTCAATAATACCTAATTATTATATATATATATATATATATATATATATATATATATATAAATATATATATATATATTTATATATATATATATATATATATATATTTATTTATATATATATATATATATATATATAATTATCATTTAAGTAATATCTACTGTAATATACTAAACAATATATGATATGATAGATCTTAATATCAGTATCTAATAACATCAAACCAATAACTGACTACGTACCATCAATTACATTTTATAGGTCAATTTATGATTCCATGTTCCTGATTCTTTCTCAATCTTCTACTTTTGCACCTTATAATATTAATAACTGTCACAATATGTAATTGTTTACTAAAACTTATTCGCTAAAAATTGTACAATGGGAATTCACTCTATAAAATATTGCGGTTACCATAACTCCCAAATAAATTAAAATCAAAAAAATGTCATTTATTTAAATTGGATATGTTCTCAAAATTTAAATTTTTAATCTTAAGTTGTAAGTATTGAAATATTCATTTTGTTTACATATAATAATTATAATAAATTTACAGTTTTCTCCTGAAGAAGTCACAAAATCGTGACGAAATATTGAGAAATAACAAATAGAGTTTTATTTCATACAGACCAATTGCTGAGATTACAAATAATATATATATAAGTATAATAAATATCATGTATCATGTTCACATATCTTAAAATACATTATTTACAGGGTGTCCTGAAACCTTCACCCAGTTTGAGATCATATTACTTAAAGGTATATTGAGCCAAAAAGTGATTTAATCAAAATAAGGCATCCAAACTTTTATTATATTAATGATAGTTTTATAATTCGTTATTTTGAATTTAATTTTTATTTCAGAAGAACATAACGTCTCTATAATAATACCTGTGAAGGATAGAGAGAACTATTTCCTTGTAGCTCTAGACAGATCTGTATGTTTGGTGAATTGGGACGGTCAAAGTAAAGAGGTCGCCAACATTGAAAGACTTGTTGAAGTAGAGGAAGGTACAGAACACGTATTGAACGATGGAAAGTGTGATAACACTGGAAGACTATGGATAGGTAAGATCCAATTCGGTTTCATTGTTTCTATTTATGCATTAGTTGTACATGTGTATGTCACTATAACACCATATCGTTGTTCGTTGCTACAATATTAGTATTATTTAAGCTTGTATTATTTTCGTTATCTTAAAAATTGCTATAATGATTTTGTTGTGCTAATATGTACATCAGTTTCTTTAATTGTTTTATTTTATTTTTAGGCACAATGGGAGCGTCGGCGAAAGCATTACAAAATCTAAAAGATGGACAAGGAGGATTTTACAGTATCTTTAACAAAACGGTTCAGTTACATAGAGACAACGTTGGTTGTTCGAATGGACTTGCATTTAACTACAAGCTGAAGAAATTGTACTATAATGATTCCTTAAAAGGAACTCTAGATGAATATGATTTTAATATTGAAAGTGGAACAATCTGTAAGTATTTGTGTGTACAACTTGACCTTTGACCATTTCGTTTGTGTGCTCGACTGTGCTACAGTACGTATTCTGGCAATTCCAACAGGTCTAGAATGCGTTCTGGTCTTTGTACATTAAACAATGAACATTAAACAGGCTTCTGAAACTCAGAAGCACAAACTAGCGCATCTAATTGCAAAACAAATTCCAAAAACCACAACGTTAAAACCCACTAAAGTAGTTTATAACTTCTGATAGCCCCATTTATACCATTGCCACTCAGGCTTAAGCTAAAGATTTTAACTACTCTATTACCCCAAGTCAAATTCCAATTGAGACAATCATCTGTTAAACTGAAGAAGTCATCTCCAGGTTAAATTCCAAAGATGCTGAAATAACTAGAGAAGACATCGCTAAATTTCTTAGAAACTCAAAACCTCCTACCCCGAACATTAGCCTTCTTGTTTTTTTCCTATGGTGCATTATACAATAGTGGAATTTGGCGACAATTCTGGCATACTTCTCTCGATCTTGTGTGGCTCTAAAGAGTGCATGGGCATCGAGGTTCCTCCAATCCCTTATGTTTTTAGCCATGAGTATTTCTTTCTTCCGATGCCCCACTTTCCTTCTATCTTCCCTTCCATAATAAGCTTTAAGAACTGGTACTTGGAATTTCGAAATATATGACCCAGATAAGTAGTATTTCGTCGTTTTATTCATCATCATCATCAGTGGTGCTACAGCTCTAGTTGAGCCTTGACCTTCCCCAGTCTATTTCGCCAGTCGTTTCTGTTCATCGCCAACCGTTGCCAATTTGCCACGCCGATCTTCCTTGCGTCCTCGTCCACACCGTCCCTCCATCTCAGTCGTGGCTGCCTCTACTCCTATTTCCCACTGGGACCGATAATAGAGTTCGTCTGGGTGGGTAATTTTCATTTGCTCTTAACACATGTCCAGCCCATCTAAGCCTACCTATTTTTATGAAGGATATTACATCTCTACCATTTACTATTTTTTTATACTTCTCGTACAATTCGAAATTATATCGCCTTCTCCAAATACCATTCTCACAGAATGCGCCCATTATTTTTCTTAGCATCTTCCTTTCGAAGACGAGCAGAAGATTTGCGTCTGTTTTGGAGATGGTCCATGTTTCTCGTCTTTTTATTATTTGCAGCAATTCTCATTCTCTGCCCATTTTATTTAATACTTCGACATTTGTTGTGTGATCTGTCCAGGGAATTTTAAGTATTCTTCTAAATACCCACATTTCAAAGGCCTCCAATCGGTTCATCACATTGGCCTTTATGGTCCAGGTTTCTACACCATATATAATGTATACGTATGGAGTAAATGTAACATTTTACAAAGCGATATCGAAGCGTTAAGTTAAGGCTGCTGTTTCTTAGCAAGGTTCTCATATTAGTAAATGCTGTTCTGGCTTGCTCAATCCTGCTACATATCTTTATGTCTGGATCTAAATCTTTAGTTATCCAACTACCGAGATATCTGAACTTGGGGACCTTTTGGATGTTCTTGAACCCTGAAATCCAGTCGTTATCCTTCAGTGTTTATTCTATCTATCAGTGGTTGTAGCGCTTCTTAGCTATCAGCTATTATGACTGTATCATCAGCATAGCCAATTCGAGAAAAAAGCCTGGAAAGAATTTTCCTTAAATCCAAATCTAGTTATTCGTTCAAAAACAATGCCACCGTCATCGTAACCACTTCTTCTTACATTATTTAACTCTCAAATCCCAATATTACTTCAAACTACAGACCAATTTCTAATAATCCTATCTGGAGAAAATAGCAGAAGCAATTATCAATAAAACCTCTCTTCCTGTTGACATAAGGCAATCTATAGTTCCTCATTAAAAGTCTTGTAAGACACCTCGAATATATCTTCTTCCAAATATGCCTGTTTTCTAGAGATGTTGGCGACCACATTAACCCATCTTATTCTATTCACAGCAGCTCGAAATAGATCAGTTGACGTTAGACCGGTCCATTTCTTAACATGAGCAAGCCAGGATTTACGTCTACGGCCAGGGCCTCTCTTACCCCCAATCTTGCCCTGTAGAATCAACTGTAGAAATCGGTATTTATCTTTACGCGTGATGTGGCCGAAGTAAGCCAATTTACTGTTTTTTGTGGTGGTGTTAACAATTTCTTTGTCCTTTCCTAGCCTCTGGAGAATAGTTATGTTACTTGTGTGGTATATGAGACCCTCAAAATACGTCGTGGCACCACATTTTAAGTGCCTCCAATCGTTTTATGGCATCTTCTGTTAGGCTCCAGCTTTCTACTTCATAAAGGAGGACACTAAAGTGAATATATAGCCTACCCAAAATTCACAAACCCGATTTTTCTCTACGTCCCATTGTCAGTGCATACATCTGCCCTACACAACCATTGGCCAAGTACTTAGCCCAAACTTTACAACCTCTCGCCGAAAGTGCTTTATCCTTTGTCAAAAATTTACCGACTCACACTAATTTCCGTCTTTCACAGTAGGTAACATTATACTGCTCTTTGCGTAATATTTTTTTCTGTGCCACAATTTTAATATTTCTTGATTTGGACTTTTTCAAATCATCAACATCTTACCTCTCCTATTTTCTTAATGTTAATAAATATTAAATATTTTTAATTACCCTAGCTAACTTAAGCCACGTTTTGAAAAGTTTCGGTGATGACGAATCCGATAAAAAAGTGCTTGTTTTGGATCCCGAGGAGTTTTCTGGTGTATACGATGGTATGACTATTGATTCTGAAGGAAATCTCTGGGTTGTGATTTTTGGTTCATCAAAGATAGTGCAGATAAAACCAGGGAAGCCAGCAACTATCTTGCAGTCTGTAGAGTTTCCAACTCCTCAAGTAAGTATAATAAATGTAAGCATTGATTGATGTTATCAGAACTGACACTTTTTTTTGTAAAAAAATTATTTAGGACAGTAAAAAATAATTACCATACAACCTTAGCGTATTTTAAAATTACCTTAATTTGAATATGTATTAGTATTTAATCCCAGCTATAAGCAAAAGCTTTATATTTTTCGATTAAGATTATTTTTCTCCTTCACTAGAGGAAATATTTTGCTCATCTCATATTGCAACCTCGTCTTTGCAAGTGTAATATGATTATCTTTAAATAATCGTCCTATATCTCTTAAGGTATATTTTAAGTATATTTTGGAAATCTTTTGTTTTCCATTATGTAAGTATTCTGTCTTCATTTAACTGTATATTATATTTTGTTCTGTTGATTATACCATATATCACAACCAGGCTATAGCCCAGCTACTGCGTTTTTTCCACGTTGTTATATTATATGTCCGCTACATAGGTTTTATGCTCAGTCCCGATAAGGCGCGTCCCTGTAATGACTGATAGGTCCAAACAAATAAGTATCCGCGGTTCAACTGAGGGCATGACATAGGGCAGCAGCTATATCATTACTGCACTGGGGTTATATGATCCATACAGGTCTAGTGTAAATTACTCACTTACTTTACAGACTTACAGAGTTATTTACTAAAATTTATATTATTAATAATAACAAATGTTATTTAAATCAATATAAGGTTGAATGATCGAATAATTAAACTTTGATGGTATACAAGGCAAATAACGAACACAGTAATTAATTAAATCTTGCCCAAGTACTTTCGATCAATAGATCATACTCAGGGACATCTGAAATAAACCAAGAAACGTTTTTTTTATAAAAAAGGAAAATTAATTCACTTCGATAAAAAACTCGAAAATGGTTAAAAAAGTTTTTATGTGATAAACGTTTATAGACTTACTTTGTCAGTTGTGGCCTATCCGACATGAGCAGAATGTCATACATGTAAATTTGGACATAACAATACAATACACAAAGACAAACAAACACTTCAAAATTTTTAAAAAAGGAGAAACTACATGTTATATAGAAGCCAGAGACAGAATGGCTCCCGGTCTGGCGGAAATATTGAGATGACATGTGACAAATGACAACTTGTAAAGGGCAGTTACAATAGATATGTGATCTGCACCTTTCAAAATGTTATGAAACTAAGTATTGACCAAAGGTCCAACTGACACCACTATAGGAAATCAACTGATGAAATATAAAATTATATAGTATATTTTTTATGTAGATTGAATAATCCAAATCTCACTCAAACCTGCCTATAATAATTAGGATGTTAGTTTGAGAGCAATTGAAGTTGACATAAAGTATGAATGTAAGAAAAGACTAAACAATATATTAGACAGTGGATGGTTCCTAGAGTCTTAAACTTAAGTAACACTAACTTTCCAGAGGATGAAATGTATTCTTTAGGATTAAGCCTTAAGATTTCTTGTCAGAATTTTAGGTTAAATAACTCAGTGCTTGGAGGATTTGCAGTGGAGCTGGATACTCTAATAGAAGGTATGACTAAAAATGCTGATATTAAACAATATTTGAGAAACTCTTGCATTAGCTTACTTCAACAACAACAATGTAAGTACAAACGCAATTTTCATAGACATCACCATAATTTTAAAAAACAAAAGGATTCGCTAAAATCAATTAAACATAAAATTGATAGAGATTCTCTTGTACTCAGCAAGGCTGATAAGGGTAATTGTGTTGTAATCTTAGAACAAATTCAATATATTGAGAAAGTAGAATCTTTTCTTTTAGATAACAGTTTTGTAGTTTTGGAAAAAAATCCACTTAACACCTTTATTAATACAACAAAAGCAATGGTTAAATTGTTTAATGACACTATTACTAAATATAACAACAGAAAGTTAACTGTATCTAATCCTATAACACCTAGGTTATATGAACTGCCTAAAATCCATAAACACAATTGTCCCATAAGGCCTGTAGTAAGTTTTTGTAACACTCCCGTTTCTATTTTATCAGAGTTTATTTACAACACAATTCAGTCTATCACTAATTTTAAACCTAAGTTCTCCATTAAAAATTCTTTAGATCTAATAGAACATTTAAATAACATTAGGATAGAAGAGGGTTTTTATTTAGTTTTTTTTTATGTTTCCAATTTGTTTACTTCTGTACCAAGAGATGAAACATTATCTTTAGTACACAACCTTCTAGACAATTGCAATATATCTGCAAAGGATAAAGATGCTATATTAACTATGCTTAAATTCTGTCTGGATCAGGACTTCTTCCAATTCAATCAAAAAATATATAAACAACAGGTTTAGCAATGGGATCTCCATTATTACCTTTTCTAGCTTATATTTTCTTAGACAGCTTAGAACAGAAGTTTGTTAATAACAACAACAAAATAGATTTTTGGTCAGGCAACCCAAGATGAGGCTTTACAGATTCTGGATGATCTCAATAACCTCCATCTTAACATCTATTTTACTCTGGAACTAGAATCTGACAATACGTTGAACTTCTTGGATATGACTATTTCCCGTAATAAAGATTCTTTAGAGTACAACATTTATAGAAAACCCACCCAAACAGATCACGTTATACATGGAACGTCTAATCACCCAACTCAACATAAAATGGCTGCTTTCAACAGTTACATTTATCGGTTACTTAAATTTCCTCTTTCTGATGATAATTTTAATACAGAACTTAATACTCTTAAGCAGATTGCTTTCATTAATGACTATAATCCTAACATTATATACAAACTTCTAAATAGAGCTAAACTAAAAATTGCAGAAAAGCTTGCATATTCATCACAGTTTTTTCAACCTAATGCTTCAGATAACAACAGATATTTCTCCTTTACTTATATTAGTAGCATTTCCAATAAAATATCTAAACTTTTTACTTCTACAATTGATAACATCAAAATTTCCTTTAAATCACATAACACTTTAGGTTCCTTCTTAATCAATACCAAAGATAGGATGAATACACTTGATAAAAGTGGTATTTACAAATTAAAATGTGATGATTGTGATGCCTCTTATGTAGGTAGAACCATCAGAAAGTTATCCACTAGAGTCTCTGAACATTTGAAAAGACCAAACTCTTCAAGTTTTGGTCAACACTTAGTATCCAGGAACCACAATTTTAACATAAATTCTGGTTCATCTATCTTACATGACATTAGTAGAAAGAAAAACTATCTTGAGTTGGATTTATTGGAAGATTTGGAGATTACAAGGGAAACACATGAAAACTCTCACTGTCTTAATACTCAAATTAATTTAAATTGTACTAAATTTAATCCTATATTTAAAAACTTTATTACAGCTTCACCTCGTAGAGGACCCAGCTCGACTGTTTAGACTTCATGCACTGAGCATTTCAATATTATTTTAAAGTTCTTCCATTGACTATGGATTCAACTGAACTACTTGGATTATAACCCATTTATATATTTTGCTTTCAATTTAATTTTAACTTTTAGTAATTTAACTGCATATTCAGATTTTTCCTTTTTTACAGTACTGATAGCGCTTGGTGGACCATTTTATTGTAGTCAACCATCCACTGTCTAATATATTGTTAAGTCTTTTCTTACATTCATACTTTATGTCAACTTCAATTGCTCTCAAACTAACATCCTATTTATTATAGACAGGTTTGAGTGTGAGATTTTGATTATTCAATATACATAAAAAATATACTATATACTTTTATATTTCATCAGTTGATTTCCTATAGTGGTGTCAGTTGGACCTTTGGTCAATACTTAGTTTCATAGAATTTTGAAAGGTGCAGATCATATATCTATTGTAACTGCCCTTTACAAGCTGTCATTTGTCACATGTCATCTCAATATTTCCGCCAGACCGGGAGCCATTCTGTCTCCGGCTTCTATATAACATGTAGCTTCTCCTTTTTTAAAAATTTTAAAGTATTTGTTTGTCTTTGTGTATTGTATTGTTATGTCCAAATTTACATGTATGACATTCTGCTCATGTCGGATGGGCCACAACTGACGAAGTAAGTCTATAAACGTTTATCACATAAAAACTTTTTTCAACCATAAACTTCGAGTTTTTTATCAAAGTGAATTAATTTTCCTTTTTTATAAAAAAAAACATTTCTTGGCTTATTTCAGATGCCCCTGAGGATGATCTATTGATCGAAAGTACTTGGGCAAGATTTAATTAATTACTGTGTTCGATATTTGCCTCGTATACCATCAAAGTTTAAATATTACTTAATCAATATAATTCTGAAATTCCCAATATAATGATGGCTACATTTTTCTGATTATTATACCATGTTGACGCCTATGAAAGATCGAGCACTTCCGTATGGGTTTCGTATTATTAGCTGTATTAGGAAAATGTGAACTCTAAGGTTGACGTGTGGAAATTTTAACGTGACGACACTTTATATAAATTGTGACGTGCAAGCATTTCTATATGAAAAATGATATAATAAATTTGTATGTATGTATTGTATTATTTATGTATGTATTTTATTAGTTCATTTACCTAAAGACCAAAAGGAACAATAACATAGCACCAAAATAATATATTATTACAAAGTGTTTTAAAATGTTTCTGTTTCTCCTTTCCTAACTGTTTTGTAATATTATATAGTAACTATATATATATATACACGTTTATCTTCTGATAGCATATAATTATTAAGTTTATTTTTTTAGATAACCTCCATAGCATTTGGGGGTCCTAATCTAGACGAGCTCTACGTTACAAGTGCAAATTTTAGCTCTCAACCAAAAGGAGAAAGTCCTGGATGTTTATTTCGGGTAACAGGACTAAATTGCAACGGAATTCCCGCTGACGTAGCTGTGATATAAAAAGAAATGTCAACTAAAATGAAGATTACTTTAATAAAAATATGATATTTCAATAAATATTTCACAAAAATGATTTTTTACACAATTTTTTACTTGAGACTACTAAATATTTTTTTTTGTTAACCTTGGTAATTATTTATTAGACCTTCAGCACTACCTGAGGTAAACTGGGTGCCAGTGATGACGCTACAAGAACATTGAAAATATATATATATATATATATATATATATATATATATATATATATATATATATATATATATATATCGACAGTGAAAAACTACACTCATAGACAAAAATATCGCATATTTTGGAATTTTCTAATTTTTGTTTTTTCAAAATAAATTCTGTTCAATCAAGTCATTTATTGTGAAATAAAGTTTATTTTAACAATGTTTAATGAACAATTTTAAGTTTTTATGCGAAGAAAACTGCGAAAAAAATAAATGCTTAATATTAGGTAAATAAGGTTATTTTACTCTAAACTTAAATGCTAATTAAACTGCTTAAACAAGTATTTTTACATATGTTGGAATCATCATTTCAAAGAAATGAAAAAATTCTCTGATTACCTGTACTCCTTATTCAGACCGCATAATATTAATACAAATTAAAGAAAGACATAACTATGTCTATGCACCAACAGCAGATAAAGATGACAATGAAATAGAACAATTCCACAAAGATTTAAAAGAAATGCTGAAAACAATAAAAAAATCAACACATTAACATAATAACGGGCGATCTTAATGCCAAGGTGGGTGAAGGTAAGGTAGGAGAACAAGTAGAAAACTATGGACTTGGAAACAATAATGACAGAGGAGATCGATTGATTCAATTTTGCCAAAGCGAAGAGTTCGTAATAACAAATACCTTTTTCAAATTACCTCCTCGACGGTTATATACATGGACATCTCCACAACATACCAAAGAAAAAATAGTGAGAAATCAAATAGACTACATTATGATAGCAAGGAGGTATCGTAATGCTGTTAAATGTACTAAGACGTACCCAGGAGCTGATATAGGCTCAGTAGTTACTGTGATAGAAGCGAGATCAAAAAATATTAGAAGATTACACAGAAAGACACTAGATTTAAATAAACTTAGAAACAAAAATATGACACGAAACAGAAGAAGAAATAAATGAAAACCTCCGTTCAGTGCAGCAACAAATTAACGATACAAATAACGTTAACCAAAAATTTAAGTACATAAATGCAGCTATACAAACAGCAGAAAAGAAACATCTTACAAAAATAACAACAAAGAATAAGGGGTGGATGACACAAGGTATACTAGACTTGATGGAGCAAATAAGAAAGATGAAGAATTGCTCAGATAAATACAAAGAAATAAATAAACACATAAAAAAGATAATAAAAGAAGCCAAAGAGGAGTGGATTAAAGAACAGTGTGAAGAAATGGAAACATATGGGAAAAAGTACGATGCGTTCAATATGCACAAAAAAGTAAAAGAGATACAAGGAAGCATAAAGAAATACCAAATAGGTAAACTTTAAGACAAAGATGGAAACCTTATTGTAGATCTAGAGAATAAAATAAAAAGATGGACAGAATACCTGAATGAATTATTTGAAGACAATAGAAACAACTTAACTCAGATAATCAATGCAACTGTGCCAGACATATTGAAAGAAGAAGTAGAATACGCAATAAGAAACGCTAAAAATGTAAAAGCAAATCGACCTAATAAAATTCCTACAGAAATGTTTAAGCTTTTGAATGATAAATCCGTAACCATAATATTACATCTATTCAATACAATATACAGTACTGGTATAATACCTCAAGAATGGTTGCTGTCTACGTTTGTCACCATACCGGAGACAACTAACGCAATGCAATGTTCAGATCATCGAACAATTTCGTTGATGGGTCATCTGCTTAAAATATTTCTTAGAGTCATCCACAACCAAATCTATCAGAAGTTTAGTCTATTTGCCTTAAACATCCTAACACAGAGATGTCTAGATGTTATCCAAGAGGTACATGCCTGCTTTATAGACTTTGAAAAGGCCTTTGACAAAATACGCCCCAATAAACTCAAAGAAATCCTGGTGGGTAACAAAATTGACACCAGAGACATACAAATAATATTAAATCTGTACTGGAATCAGAGAGCTCATATAAAAATAGAAGACATATACTGCGAACAAATATGCCAAGAAGCTCTCTCACATGCAAATGAAGGCATAATAGTCTATGGAGAAGTTATCAATAACATTCGATATGCTGACAATACTGTGATAATGGCAAGAACAGCAGAAGATCTTCAACATCTAGTAGAAAGTATGAATGAGATATGTAATAACTACGGCATAAGGATAAACGTCAAAAAAACCAAATATATGACCTTCGGTAAGAATTTAATACATGACAGTAGTATCACAATAAACGGTACCCAACTTGAAAGAGTAAGCGAATACAAATACTACAATACGAAACAGGTGACCAAAATCACGAGATAAAAAGACGTATTGAAATTGTCAGATCTACCTTTATAAAAATGAAAAAATTATTTTGTAATAGTGATATTAGTACTCATCTACGAACTAGAATGTTAAAATACTATTTTTTCAGTACGTTGCTTTACGGTGTTGAGGCATGGACTCTTAAACAGAGGAATATTGAAAATCATTAAAGGTTTGAGATGTAGTGCTACCGTTGTATACTAAAAATAAGTTGGGTGAATAAAATTACAAATGAATAGGTAATACGCAGAATAAATAATGATCTAGAAGTTATCCTGAATATAAAAAAAGAGAAAACTTAAATACTTAGTCCACCTGATGAGAGGTACAATGCAAGGAAAAATCTAAGGACGCAGAAATACAGGCTGTAAAATAATGTCCTGGATGAGAAATTTAAGAGAGTGGTTTGGCTGTACCACTAACAAATTATTCATAACAACAGTAAATAAAATTAGAATCGCCATAATGATATCCAATTTCCGATAGGGGAGGCACTCAAAGAAAAATAAGAAGAAGATAATTACGCACTCTGGCAGCGGCAAGTGGTCGAGCACTTGCACTATCGTGCACTATCGTGCATTAACATGAATCTTTCATACCCAATGCAACCAACATATGGCAAAACATGATCTTGCAGGATGTTTTAAACGTAAGAGTCACCAGCCATCCGTCCAATCACTTCTACGAGTTGTACAAATTTACCATAAATTTGTACATTGTAAAAATCTTAGATTTTCATAACAAAACTTCCCTTATATCTAAACTTGGACTAGTCCCAAAAACCAGTCCATTCTCGGTCCTGAACTGTTAGAAAGACCAATAAGTTTCTAAAAAACCATATAGTCGCCAAGCAACCGTCTTAAGAGAAGGTCTGACAAGCAAGTGCTTGCGACCCGTCAAATTCATTTCTTCATTTATCCATTATTTCCTTATTTTCCAATTATCTAGTTTTTGTGGCCAGTATTGTTGGCAGTGAGTGCATGGTAACAAGAGCTGTGTAACAAGTAATGCTGTGCCTTATTGTAAGTAGAAAATTTATATTTAATCTCAACTTTGCAATTGTTCCAAGTCGCGGTGTTGCCATATAACCAAGCCAGACAAATATAGATGAATTTAAAGGTGATAAATATTTTAACAGGTTTCTCTCTTCAGATAGTAACTTTATGGAGCTCTTTTATAGTTACTGCTCTTATTCCTTTATAGCTACTGCAGAACTCCTAAAAATATTTCGTGAGATTAAGAATAAAACCTTCTAATGTCAAATATTTTTGAATAATTTATGTAGTTTCTACACAACATTTAAATTCGGTATTAATGATAAAATTAATAATAATTAGTGAGGTATCGATCAATCTACAAACACTGCATAATTAGCTATATCCTGTTATACAGGGTGTCCCAAATATGTTTTTGTTTACGGGTTTATGCCTAAAATAGTTTAGTAGAAAGTTTTCGTTTGCGTTTTATAGGGTGTTTTGTTAATTTTTTTCTATCACTTGTTGGAAATAATTTATTCAACACCCACCATTTTCCCAGTTCACTTGGCATTTTTTCTAACAAATTAAGACAATTATATTTCTGTATTTATTTACATTTAATATCTAAATTTACAGGTTATCATTTCTACTAAACGATAAGTTCAAATATATGCAGCCAAGGTAAAAAAAGAGCAGTTAATTTGGAAAAGGCCGTAGATTCTCGATCGAACCTCCGAACAGTAAATATATCAGCAATTACCGATTTGGACAAAATAAGGAAATTTTGATTCAAATGTAGAATTTTGTCTATACCTAAAGTTTAAACAAAGGTGCAGTGTAAAAGTGTTAGTTCTTCTGGACTAAAAACTGTAAGTTTGATTTTCCTATTACATCTATAACAAATCAAAGGTAAACAACTATTTTGCCGATTTGGCGTTAGGTTAATTCCCAGTACTTCCGGAAATAATCCATTATAAGCGCCAGGGCCGTATTCAGGTTATTTAGCTCAAGCATGGAAATCTACTTGTAAACCAACCATCAAAATTATATTCTACAGCTCTTAATCAACCTACAAATAAATTTCCAAACAAAAAACAAGCAACTACTCCCAAACTCTAATATTTTATTTTTAGTTTACCTTAATGAAGTAACTTCTAAAGCGGATCCCAGAAAACTACGTTCTATTTCTAAAATTATAAATGATTGTATTTTTATCTTCTTTACTAGTGAACTGACAGTGACAGTGAGTTTTTAGCAAATGACAATCGAATTATAGTAATTAATCAAGAACGTATTCAAGACTAATAACTCCAAATGCACGATTGATTATTTCCAACGTATGTCCAAGTATTCCGCACAAAGTTATATATGAACAACTGAAAAACGTAAGTATACATCTAATAACTCCAATTGACTTTCTCAGGATAAGAACTTCAAATCCAGCATTCAAGCATATCTTGAGTTTTCGACGATACACTTTTTTAGCGTCAATTAACTTAAACAAATTACCTGATTCTATGTTGATTAACCTTGAGGATATATAATTAACCAGTGTCCCAATAAACATATTCAGACTCCTTTAAACAACACCCAAAATAATGTTCATCTAAACTCTCTACCTGAAGTACACCAATCGGTTTCCCTTTCAACAATTTGTTTTACACAATCCTCTCCTATTGAGACTTAAAATACAAATTAAAATACAGTACAATAATCAGCTCCTTTGTCGATAAATTTCTTTACACACTCCTCTCTTACTGAGGCTGAAATATCTAGAAAAATCATTACCTCTCAATCAGACTGCGACTACCCAATGAGACTCAAATGGATATCTTTGATCAAGATACATCCTCATCTCAGCATTCTAAACGAAACCTATTTAAAATAATATCTTCCCCTCTTCACCTCAATAAGAAATAAAGAAAATGCCTTGGCGCTGAACCGAACCCACGAAGCAAACAACTAAAAACTCAACAAGAAAACAACAGAAACCTAGTAGAAGATCTTACCAAATGCACCAGTCAATTCTTCAAAGAAAACTCCAACAATGGATACTTAACACAGGAAGAACTTATTGACTTCTTTGAAAATGCGCATGGTTATTCAAATCCTCTCAGTATTGCCAGAACTTACTCGGAGGATATCGAAGGATTAATAGACTTTCTAAAGAAATACATTCAATGGTAAGTCCAAGATATCTTAAATCCCGTTATTCTAGAATTAAAAACAAAATTACAGAACAAATTTTAAGTAATACTTTTACCGATGATCCTAGCGATTCCTGCTCGGAGACTTATTAATTAAACTTTGATAAAATTAAAGGGAGATATCGAGCACAATTTTATTAATTAAATCTTGACCAATTACATTTGCTTTTCTATAGCATCATCAGGGACATTTTGTCAGATTTGGGCTATCCAACAAGTGCAGAATGTAATAAACATAACATTAAACATAAAATTATACAAACACTACACTAAACAAGGACAAACAGGAGAGAGAATGATTCTCTCTCCTGTTGCCGACAAGAATGTAGCTTTAAATAATTTTTAAATAATTTTAAACTGTTTGTCCTTGTTTAGTATAGTGTTTGTATAATTTTATGTTTAATCTCATGTTTATTATATTCTGCACTTGTTGGATAGCCCAAAGCTGACTTACTTTACTTTAGTTTATCGTGTCCAGACATGTCATTCATAAAATTTCGGCCCAGTATCGGGCTACGTCGGTACCATCTTTGTTGGCGAGCCACAAATCTTCAAGGGTACATCGATGAGGACAGTTTCTACATGTAAGAAGATGTGCCATATTCTGTGTTTCTCCACAGTCACAGTCCACATGGTCTTGGTCTATTTTTCCCCATTTTGCTATGTTTGATTTTACTGCAGCGCACTCCGTTCTTATCCTATTCAAAGTTTTCCACGTTTTCAAGTCTAGGGTCTGGCCGGTCCATTGAACCTGGGGAAGTGGAAAATACTCAGGCGGTTCATCCTGCACTCTTCCAAGGAAACTTTTCCTAGATTTTAGTCGCTTTCGTGGTGTTCGAGCTTTGTATAGGGCATGCCGCTCGTTTACGATCTGTTTAATTTTCTCTATGTGTTCTGCAGCGCCTCTGCCTGTTGAGGGTTCTGCAGAACCCGCTGCTCTATATAGATTTGAAAGTAGCGTTAGCTTCATGCATCCTGTTACTATTCTGCATGTTTCATTTAGCGCAGTATCAACTTGTTTGGTGTGGGCAGATCTGCTCCAAACGGGACACGCATATTCAGCAGTTGAGAAACACAGTGCCTGTGCCGTTGTTCTTAAAACGCCAGGACGTGTGCCTCATTTACTTCCCATTAGCGTTCTGAGTATGCTGTTCCTAGTTGTTACTTTCCCTCTTGTTTTTATGCAATGTTGTCTGTAGGTGAGGGATCGGTCCAGAGTTACTCCAAGATATATAGGTTGGTTTGTGTGTTCTAATGTATTACCATTCCACACAATTTGAAGTTTTCGCTTGGCTTCCTTTGTGCGAAGGTGGAAAGCTTGGGTTTAAGAGGGATAGGGTCTCAGAGAATTCTGCAGGTAGTACGATTTCATTGTTTTTAAGGCAGTTTCGAGTTTCTTCTCCACTTCTTCAAAACTATTTCCTTGAGCACATATTGCAAGATCGTCAGCATAGAGGAAGTACTTGGTTTCGGTCGGAGTAGGTTGGTCGTTTGTGTATATATTGAAGAGCATTGGTGCTAAAACACTTCCCTGTGGGAGGCCGAAAACTGACGAAATGCCCCTGATGATACTTTAGAAAAGCGAAAGTACTTGGCAAGATTTAATAATTAAAATTGTGCTTGATATCTGCCTTTAATTTTATCAAAGTTCTTTTATTCGAGCTTTCAACCTTATGTCAACTTATTAATTAAACTATTTTTAATTCTATTAATCAATGGAACCTAAATAGGTACCATACCCATTTAGAAGATTTCATCCATCTGTCATATGTTTGCAATAAACACATTTCAAAGGAAATTCGTGTCACAATCTTAAAAACTTTATGTCGAGACCACGATTAGGACACACCAAGATCACACATGATTTCCTACTACAGAAGTAACCCAAACCTTCGTGATACGCGTGTGATAGTGATCTAACAGTACATCACTTATTAGTGGAGTGTCAGTTATACGCATGTGAAAGACAATATGAACAGTTACCTACAACAATAAAAGACATTCTTTTTTTCTTCTTGATTTACAGGAACAATTTGTGACATTAGAGTTAGAACACCCTGATAGTTTCCAGGGCAACAACCAAGAGCAACCATGGGGTAAGCTACAGCTACCTGAGGAAAGATATACCAAACGTTAAAACGTTTAAAACAAATAGAAAAGGTTAATGCGAGTGAATAAGAAAAGTATAATGTAATTGCATGTCTCGCAAAACAAGAAAACAAAAAAGAAAATATGTATATCGATTGAAGGCAACCGTTTATACATATTTCTGACTACTGATCATCTTCAGTACGGTGTAACCAAGTTAGAAAATGAGCAGTTAACTTGGGAAAGGATCACTATAGAAGCAATGCAACCAATTTGTGGCTTTAGAGTTAGAACTAGAAACGATTGCTTTCCAGTGATATTTCAGGTTTTACTTAAATCGGTTTAATAGATTTCAACATATTCTAAAAATATTCGAAAAAAAATGAAACATCCAGTAGAGCAAAAATCGGCGACTTATTTCTAAAGTATTTTGAGGTCAAATGTTTTATTTTAACTTCACCTATCTTATTTTAGATAATTTCCTATTAATGATAGGACACCTTGTATAATAATCAAGTTCATTAAAAATAAACACAACAAAAGTTATAAAAAGGATGCAACTTAAAATATAAATACTAATATTTCATTTTTCAGTTATTAAAGTTATTTGTGTGCTGTGATAATTACTGGCTAATTTTTTAAATATCTTTAACAAGTAAGAAATCATTTTAGAATGTATTATTTAGATTTTTTCTTTTCTATGTGTTAGTAGCCATCTATTTTTCACTTTCTACTTAATTGATAAATTTTGTTGATACTAAAACCTGTATTTTAGTAGGAATTAAATTTAGCTGTTCTTAAACTCCAAATTTTATTATAAATAATATTAATACGTTTTTAATCGTTCATCATTTATTTTTATTAAATCTTCTTCTTCTTCTTTGCGTGTCGTGTTTCTTTTCAAGAGTTGGCTATCGTCGTATTAACAAGCTGATGAAATGTTTCTCGGTCGGTAGCTAGATGAAACAATTCCTCGACCGTTTGACCTGTCCATTGTCTAATATTACGCAGTCAGGACAGTTGCTTTCTTCCGACTCAGCGTTTTCCTTCGATTTTGCACTGAATGATCAAACAGAGTAAGCAATATTTAGGTCCTCTCATTAAATGGCCGAAATAATGTTAATCAATTCTTACTATTTGTGCATGGTCTCTAACACACGTTAGATATGTGTGCTGTCCACGGGATTCTGTTCTGAGCATGCGACGGTAACACCACTCGACATTTAACTCAAACGCTTCTAATTTATACAGATTTTTAATTTTTGTTGTCCACATCCATTTATTGGTGTTTCTGTTGGTTTCACATCTATAGAACAAATCAGACCATACTCTTTGACTTGTGATCATTGACACACAATATGCTTCTATTGCACAATACAGAACGCCCATTAATTAAATTTTTTCGTGCAATTTCTATTTTGGTCCAAATTTCCTCATCACTTTTAACTCTGCAGCCAATCCAACTACCCAGATATCTAAAGTGTTTAACCCTTTCCAGGATTTTATCAAATTTTAGTATTGAGTATTTAATATTAGGCAGCGACCATAGCCTAGTATTATGTAAAGTTAGAATCATCATGAAATACTTCCCACCCAAGAGAGCGGCGCCAACACAAACACACACACAAACAAAAATCAAAGTCTAAGGACCAAATACGGAATCCACGGAATACTTATATAGGAAAAGAATATCAGAGAAGATCGCTAAGAATAAAATATTAGAAAATGGTAAAATCAAGGAAAGCTGGGAAAAACTCAAAAATGACATAATCAACGCAGCAACAGAATCACTCGGGAGAGGAAAGTAACGAACACTAACATATAAAAAAAACATGGTTTAGAGAGGAAATGAAGACAAAATGTAAAGAAAAGAAGAAACCCTTTTTACAATACCAAACACAACAGTCATACAACCACTATAAACGAATCAGAAATCAGAATCAGAAACAAGTACTTTAGTTAGATAAATAAAAATGGAACACTGGCAAAGCTTCTCAAACAGATTAAACACGACTTCTACGGAACATAAAAAGAAATATGAAGAATGATAAAAGGACAAAGAAAAGATATAAACGAACTAATAAAAACGAAACACATTTAGAAGAAAACATGGGTAGACTACTTTTGATCCCTATTTGCTAAAGATAATGATAATAAATATTGAGGAAGAAGAGGTATAGAAAGCATTAAGGAAATTAAAAAATAAAAAATTACCAGAAGAGAATAGAATACTGAAAGAACTAATAAAGTATGGAAAACCAGATCTGACCAAACAACGATTAAAACGACTCCAAAAAATATTAAAATAAAACAGAATTTCTCAAGAATGAAGATCAAGCATTCTAATACCTATCTTTAAAAAGCGAGACAAATCGGACTCGAAAGATTACAGGGGAATTAATTTATTAAACACAACACTAAAATTAACAACCAAAGTGATAATAAATAAATTGAATAAAATTAGGTATAACGCTAGCAGAAGAACAACAAGGTTTTAGATCGGGAAGATCATGCACCATGATATATTTATAATGAGACAAGTGCAACAGAAATCATTAGAATACAAAAATCCGGCATATCTATGTTTCGTGGACTTTAAAAAGGCATTTGACCGGGCCAAATTAAAAAACGTTATTCACTTACTGTACGCGAGAGAGATGCCTCTATTAATAATCAAAAGGATCAAAAATATCTACCAAAATCTCACAATAAAACTAAAACTAGAAGAACTAACCCACCCTATTGAAGCTGGCAATGGGATAAGACAGGGAGATTTTCTGAGTCCTCTATTGTTTAACCTGAATATGGATGAAATAATCAAAAGGTCAGAACTAAAAAAGGAAACCAAATCGGAGAAAAACAACTTAAAATAATCTGCTATGAAGATGATTCAATACTACTCTCTGAAAATGAAGATGATTTACAATGTATGCTGCACCAATTTAATATAACCGACAGAAAATTTAACAAATTAATTTTTCCAAAAAAGACAAAATGCATGGTTACAACAGCAAACTTACTAAGATGTAAATTGGAGCTGGAAGGTCAGATAATAGAAAAAGTGATGGAGTTTAAATATCTAGGCATCACATTATCTAGTTATGGAAGGCTCGAAACCACAGTGAAAGATCACGTTCAAGAGCAAATAGAGCCGCCGGCTGCCTGAATAAAACACTATGGAGAAATAAAAATATTCGGATAGAAACGAAAGGCAGAATTTACAAAAAACAGTCATCAGATCAATAATGACACACGATCTGATACAGAGAGGACAAAAAGCATGTTAGAAACAGCAGAGATGAAAACACTTTGTGGTAATTTTTGTGGAAAAATTTATGGTAAGACACTATGGGACAGAGCTAGAAGTACAGATATACGACGTAGATGCAGGGTGGAGAACATCAAGAGCTGGGTAAGAAACAGAAGAGTAGATTGGAACGATCATATAAGCCGAATGACAACAGAGTAGTAAAGACAGCAAGGGACAATTTCCCAATAGGAAGACGATCAGTAGGAAGACCACGAAAACAATGAAACGACAACTTACTGGACACACATTGAAAAACAGACAGTGTCATGTCTATATAAAAACAAGAAGAGAAGAAGTCTTTGATATTAATTTTTCCGACCACTATCCATGTTGTTTTCTTTGCTTTTATTGTTAAGCCTTTTTCAGTGCATTCGTTGTTTTCAGCGTTTAACAGAGTTTGAAGGTCTTCTAGGCTCTCTGCCATTATGGCGATGTCTCATTACATATCCGTTCCATAAAAATTGAATTGTCTTTTATTATATCTACCATGTTATATATCCCTGTTGTTTTTCTTCTGTGTTCTTAGTTTGGTTTATGTGAAGTTTTCGAGAACAGTCACTTAGACGGTACATATACTAAAATTGTATCGATTTAGAGAAGATTATGTAGAGAAGTGAATCGTAAAAATTTATCTAACGGCAGAAAGTAATTACTAACTTCACTAGACAGTTCGGACTGTGATCAGGGAACCGAGTATAATAAGTTTTGCATTCTTTAAAATAGTATGTAAATAATTTGAAAACCTTATAGTTTGATGAAACTCCATTGGCTGTATTAAATTTGTCACTTTAATCTGAATACTAATATTTTAAAAAAATTTTAGGAAATATATTTTAGTACAATTGCAAATGGCACCCGTCATAGAAAAGTTAGTAAATGGTTTAAAAATTGGGGAAGGACCACATTGGGATATACAGAAACAATGTCTATATTTTGTCGATATGCCAAATAGCACAATTAACAAATATGTACCATCTACAAAAAAACATACCAAAGCTACGATAGGTAACTATTTGTTTTATACATAAATTTAATAATACCACATTAATCATGGAAGGTATTAGTGATAATTTAAGAGGCATACCAAATAATGTTTGTGTTATACATGTGTATATAATATAGTTCTGAAGCTATTTTTTGTGACATTTTAAAGTAATTACCATAGATAAATAATATTAGAAATAGATAGGCAACTCTATGTATAAATTTCGTTCATTAGGACCCCTTGCGGCTGGGGTCATTACTAATCATCTTTTAGCGGGAAATTCAAATGAACACCCCTTACATACATACCCTTTATCGCCTCTTGTGTGCTATTTCGTAACTAATTAAAATTTACTGGAAAATATCTTACTCTTCCAATGAAATAACCTCACATATAATTACAAAATAAAAGGATATATAAAAAAATGCACAATTCTTTTTAGATATACGTATATTTATTTGTTGATTAATATTAAACAGTTATAAACTAATTACATAATATTTACAATCTGAAACTTACTATCATCATCATTTTTGTAATTTTTCCATGATTTGTACACAACGGAACAATACAATAATTCACCATGTTTAGTTTTTTTACTAGCACAATACAAACATTCTTTGCTACAACTAACTCAAACTAAACTTTAAAAACTAAGTAACCCACTTAAATTAAAATTACCTACTAAGAATAAATGCAGACGAAAGTTAAAGATAATAAAATAAAATTAAAAACTTGTAAACAAACGGAAGATCTGTCATTACTTTTGACAGAATTGACATTGCGGAATTAAGCTACGTTTGGTTTATTATTGACACCCCGAGACTGTGTTAAAATAAATGATTGGTTAAGAGCGTAGGTGCAAAATTTCGGGCCAATGCTTTTTACATTCATTCATTTTTTTTCGAATCCTGAAAAAACTAATAAGTATTTTTGAAAAATTTAAACGCAGAATGAAAAAATACATTATTACTAAGGGCTGAAAGTCTCTGAAAACTTCTATAATGTAGATATTTAATAATTTATTAAAATATTAATAAATACTTAATACGTGCAGATATCCACACCCCACGTATGCGCCCGTAAGGTACATAATGAGTAATGACGATTCAGAGTTCAGCAGACAGTCAAATTACACCATCATCAGGATAAGATGTGTTTGTGCCTACTATAATAACAAAAGCCAACGAGTTTTTGTAATTGTTGTCAATCAAGATTACTACTAATTCACTAAAAAGTATCATTAGACGAAGACGTGTAGGTCGCAAGACGAAATAAAAGCAAGACCTACAATTGGGGGCTCAACTGAGATGATGAAATGAAGAGGATACGCCCTTTAGTAAATTTGTTTTAGGACGACGATCTTACTGTATGGAGACAAAATTTCATTTTTAACCTGACGACAAATTAGACAAGGTATAAAAACAACAATGATGAAAAAGACCCACATGAGAAATTAATAAGACGATAAGAAAATTAAGATTGTTCTGAAGCTATTTTCTTGTGGCATTTTAAATTAATTACTATTTAACTGGGAATAAGCCACAATTAAAGATAAAAATTACGTTTATTGACGTTTCAATTTCCACTTCGGAAATCGTTCTCAAAATACAAACAGTAAATTAAACAAATTTTGTTTTTTGTTACATAGTGAAAAATTCTTCTAATAATTTAATTTTATCTGACTCATTTATATTGACAATTCAGACATATATTATGCATTTTAAAGTAAACGACTTTAAAATGATATTGCCAATATTGTTGAGTTGCGCTCCTGGGACGACTTTACTTATAAGATAGTTCATTCGATTACATGAAATCAACTTTAACTTGAGAATATCCGTCAGAAAAAAATCATAGCATGTAATTCGTCTTTAAAAACACAAACACATGACATGATGACAGTAAAGTTCTCCTGTTAGTGATTCCATAGAAAATTATGAGGGAAAAACCAGGAAAAAAACCTCATAATACTATCCTGACATGGTAAGTATTTGTTCGTGCATTTAGTTTACCTTTAATAAACACCAAAATTCTGATTTTATATGTTTCGTTATTTAAAAAACATAAATGATTTATCCTCTATATGTTACTGACTTATCAATACTGGTATTTTCTTATTAATAACTTCCTCTTTCAATATTGGTAACCAGATCCTACTACATTCTGCCGAGGAATTTGCGACACAATTGGCCTCATTTAGCATAATTAGAGCCTCTTCTTTGATTTTTCTTTTTTTACCATCCGTTTCTTTTAGAACTACATTTGAATTATTCCATTGAACCCTATGTTCATTATCCCATGCGTGTTTACATATTTGAGATCTATCAAATTCTCTATTTTTATTATAAAATTGATGTTCACTTATTCTAACATTTAATGGCCTTGATGTTTCACCGCATTCACAAGGTATTTTATAAATGCAATTATTTGTCCTTTCTTGTTCATTGCCCTTTCATTAAATAAATAACGAAACATATAAAATCAGAATTTTGGTGTATATTGAAGGTAAACTAAATGCATGAACAAATACTTATCATGTCGGGATAGTATAATGAGGTTTTTTTCCTGGTTTTTCCCTCATAATTTACTATGGAATCACTAACAGGAGAATTTTACTGTCATCATTTCATGTGTTTGTCTTTTTAAAGACGAATTACATGCTATGATTTTTTTCTGAGGGATATTCTCAAGTTAAAGTTGATTTCATGTAATCGAATGAACTATCTTATAAGTAAACTACTTATAAGAACTATCTTATAAGTCCCAGGAGCGCAACTCAACAATATTGGCAGCATCATTTTAAAGTCGTCTACTTTAAAATGCATAATATATGAATTGTCAATATAAATGAGTCAGATAAAATTAAATTATTAGAAGAATTTTTCACTATGTAACAAAAAACAAAATTTGTTTAATTTACTGTTTGTATTTTGAGAACGAGTTCCGAAGTGGAAATTGAAACGTCAATAAACGTATTTTTTTATCTTTAATTGTGACTTATTCCCAGTTAAATAGTAATTAAGAAAATTAAGGATGTAACGACGTATTATGATATTTCATTTTTTTACTGTCAATGCATGCCAAGGGCCAAGGACGCTAGACGCTTAACGGAAGTTATAAACATTTTGATAGGATCCAAGGTGGTGACGACAGAAAGTACTTAAAGACATTATTACTTTAATTTATTGGTCGTTAGTTTTGTGCTGATCACTTAAAATTTTATTTAGTGTTTACTACAATTTGTACTGTTTTGGTTATAAACAGTAGGTATATATGGTTTTAAACGCTCTTTATTTCTACAGGGTGGTTTATACAATTATATTTTATTATCAGATAGGTACATTTTAATACATTTATTGCATGTTTATTTTTGTTGTTGTTCTAACTTAATTTTAATTATAAACATGGCGACGTTAGCATCTTTTTCAAATATTTATATATATATTTATATGGGAAATTTAACTGCTATTCAAATTTTATATACCATTGCTTTTGGGGATAAGGGTGTACCTCGAAAACATAGATCACTTTTAGGTCAATTTAAGTAAATATTCTGACGAGTATGCGAATAAATTGGGTAGCATATCTGAGGTGGGGATATCAGACTTGATTGCTATTTGTAATATTCTTGATTTTAACTACACTGGCTCGAAAGACGAGGTGACCAAACGCATTTGCGCATTCTTAAATGAAACACAGATGGACGAAAACAACGATAATTTAGAAAACGACGACGATGATAATGTAACGAACGAAGAACTTCAGACGACGTAAAAGAAATCATTACTGGAGCACGAAGAAAAAGAAAGCCGGAATCATTTTTGCTGACATTTAGGGACGTCGAACAAAGTATAAGAACTTTCGACGGCAAAGACGAGTATCCCGTACGTAAGTGGATTTAAGATTTTGAAGAAGTAGCTGAGATTATAGGGTGGAATGATTTACAGAAACTAATTTTTGGAAAGAAACTATTACGAGGATTAGTCAAATTATTTGTTTAATCGGAAAGAGGAATAAAGACGTGGTCTCTGCTAAAGAAAAAGGTAATAGCGGAATTTGAAGAAAGAATTAGCAGCGCTGAAATTCACAAGATGTTAATGAATAGAAAACTTAAGAGAGATGAGTCTCTGCAAGAATATGTACTGCATATGAAAGACATAGGCTTCTTCTTCTTAAGGTGCCGTGCATTTCTGCGTAGGCGTCCACCGTACATCGTCTTGTCAGGTGAGATGTTAAATATTCTGGATTAAATAATTCTTTTTTTAGCAGCATTGCGAAGCATTTCATAGCTGTGGATTCCTGTCCATTGTCGAATATTGCGCAGCCATGACATTTTTTTTACGTCCGAGACCTCTCCTACCCTCTATCTTCCCTTCGAGTATCAGTTGCTGAAAAGTGTATCGTTCTCCTCGTATAATGCGCCCCCAGTATGCAGTCTTCTTACTTTTTACATAATCAAAAAGTTCCCTATCCTGTAAGCCCGCTCTTCTGAGTACTTCCTCATTTCTGACCCTGTCCGTCCATGATATTCTGAGCATTCGACGCAGCCACCACATTTCAAACACTTCAAGTTTGTTAATGGAACTGGCCTTTAACGTCCATGCTTCCATTCCGTACAGGAGAACAGGCCACACGTAACACTTAAGCATCTTGTATCGGAGGTTGAAGTCCAATTTGCGATCAGTCAGAAACTTACGAAGCCTCAAAAAAGCATTTCTGGCTTGTTCAACTCTGCTCTTTATTTCATTCTCGGGGTCCCAACCCTCATTCAGCAAACATCCCAAGTATTTGAATTGCCTGACTTGTTCGATTTCTTCTCCAGAGACATATATCTTTGCGTTGGGGTAATAATTTCTACTTATAATCATTGATTTTGTCTTCTTGATATTTATTTTCAAACCCCGAGCTTCACTTGCAAGAGTTAGATCATTTAAAAGGCATTGAAGATCTTCGATGTTAGACATAGGCAGTAGAGCCAATATAGAAGAAGAAGTGATTATTCAATATATTATTGACGGTATACACAACGATACTAGCAACAAAATAGTACTGTATGCAGCAAAAAATTTCATGAAATTTAAAGAAAAGGTACAAATGTATGAAAAGATACGAGAAAATATGAAACGAACAATGGCGAGAGAAAAGGTACCAGATATTAGAAACCATAGAGGTAAAACCGCCAAAGGAGATTCAAGGAAAGTAATCAATAAACCAAAAAATCAAACAGCAGGGTGTTGTTACAATTGTGGAGATAGAGGCCATATATCAAAGAACTGACCTAATAGGAGCAAGGGACTCAAATGTTTCAGTTGCAATAAATTTGGACACACATCTAGTATGTGCACGCCAAGGCCAAGCACAAGCAAAGCCGCAGAGGAACCTAGCACGTCGTCAATTATATCTACGATTTATGTAATTCCCAGCAGTGCAGTTAAGCTCAACATTAACGGTGTAGAGCTGATAGTTTTATTTGATACTGGAAGCGAACTTTTCCACATTGCAGTTTTATGAAATGTTCTTCTTTATTAGTTTGCTTCTCATATTTTCTCAACAACCATTTTATCACTTACTCAATACTGATTTTTTTTAGGAAAGCATAATATATCCATTATTATACCAGTTCGAGGAAAAAGTGATGAGTTCCTCGTGACAATAGACAACACTATCAGTTTAATTAAATGGGATGGTGAAAGCTCTGAAGTTGGTGCACCTAAAACTCTTTATGAAGTAGAAAAAGGAACGAATCATGTGTTTAATGATGGCAAATGCGACAAAACTGGAAGGTTGTGGTCAGGTAAATAAATCTTTTTGGAACTACCAAATATGGATATTTACTTCATCTTATGGAGCTCCATCCAATTAGTGGATGTTGGCGACAATTCTGGAATACTCCTCTCGATCTTGTGTGGCTCTAAAAAGTGTTAATGTATAATCCTTTATGTTTTTAAGCCATGAGAATTTCTTTCTTCCGATGCCTCGTTTTCCTTCTATCTTCCCTTCCATAATAAGCTTTAAAAACTGGTACTTGGAATTTCGAAATATATGACCCAGATAAGCAGTTTTTCTTCTTTTTATTATTGGCAGCAATTCTCGTTCTCTTCCCATTCTATTTAATACTTCGACATTTGTTGTTTGATCTGTCCAGGGAATTTTAAGTAGTCTTCTAAATACCCACATTTCAAAGGCCTCTAATCGGTTTATCACATTGGCCTTTATGGTCCAGATTTCTACACCATATAGCAGTATGGACTAAATGTAACATTTTACAAAGCGATATCGAAGCATTAAATTGAGGCTGCTGTTGCTTAGCAAGGTTCTCATATTAGTAAATGCTGTTCTGGCTTGCTCAATCCTGCTACGTATCTCTATGTCTGGATCTAGATCTTCATTTATCCAACTACCGAGATATCTGAACTTGGGGACCTTTTGGATGTTCTTGTTGTTTACTCTTATATTCAATTGCATATTTCGTATTCTACTAACCACCATTACCTTCATCTTGTCTATATTAATCTTCAAGCCCACTCGTTCTCCTTCAGTGTTTATTCTATCTATTAGTTGTTGTAGCGCTTCTTGGCTATCAGCTATTATCACTGTATCATCAGCATAGCGAAGATTACTAATAGTCTGTCCGTCAATTTTGATTCCATCTTCAGTGTCCATCTTGAGAAACATGATGTAGATTCCAGTCCTACTCACAGATGCCACTTGATTCATATAAAGGTTCTTTATGATTTTAAGGTCATTCTCATCTATCGAACGTTCCTGGAGCAATCTTATTAATTTTGAATGATTAACACAATCGAATGCTTTCTGGTAATCTATAAAGCATAAGAAGACATCTTTTTGCTGATCTCTGCATTTCTGAAGTAGGACAGTTAAGCTATAAAGTGCTTCTCTTGTGCCAAATGCTTGTCTGAAACCGAACTGTGTGGGGCTAATGTTTCTTTCACATCTGTTGTATATTCTTATGTAAATTATCTTTAAGAAGAGTTTTAGGACCTGACTCAATAAGCTGATCATTCGGAATTGGTCGCAGCTATTAGCTATTAGCTATTAGCGTTTGGCTTTTTTGGGATTGGTATAAAGGTCGATTGAAGCCAGTCCTGTGGTATTTGACCGGACCCATAAATGTCATTAAAAATATGTACCAAGGTGTCTAAATTGTCTTCACTCAACATTGTTAGAACCTCTATGTATATGTCGTCTGGGCCTGGTGCTTTTCCCCATTTGCTCTGTTTGATTGCCCTTAGAACTTCTGACTTCAATATTTTGGGGGAGGGTTTACTTTTATACTCACTTTAAGAGTTTCTTCTAGTTGTGTCTGCGTATAGTTGCTGTGTGTAGTTTCTCCAATGTTGAAGTAGATCTTTGGGATCAGTAATTAATTTATTGTCCTTCACAATACTGTTAAAACTGCAAGGTTTTGTACGACCTGTCACTTCTTTAATAAGTTTATGTATGTTAAAGTGGTCATGTTTTTCTTCCAATTCCTCCATTTCTGCACACCTGTCTAGCAGCCACTGTTCTTTAACTTTGCGACACTCTTTTTGTATTTGTCGGTTGTTTTGCTCATGTTTGGTTCGGTCTTTGTTTCTAAATGATCTGCGGTCGTCCATCATTGATAATATTTCATCAGTCATCCAATTCTTCTTTTTGTACGCTTAGATCTTGTCTAAGTTGTCTTCTCTTGTGTTGTTTAGATCTTGTCGTGATTTTTCATTTTTATGCATTTTCTTTTAATTTTCTTAAGCTTAATTTTCAATTTTCCTACTACGGGATTGTAATCAGATCCGATATCTGTTCCAGGGTACGTTTTTACTCCTTGCAATCCATTTCTGTATCTCTGATTAATCAATAAAAAATTAATTTGATTTCTTACGGATATTTACTACAATATATAAATTAAGGCCTGTGTGTGGTACATCTGGTATATTTCTTGTACAAATACACAGCTTAGATGATTTACTATTACTTATTTGGCAACTTTTTAAACCTTATGACTTATTATTGTATTGCCATAGAAGAACATTTTAATATATAATTAAAATTTTAATTTAATTAACTATTCTTGTTTACTGTAGTATATTTATTTTTTAGGTACGTTAGGTCGTTCAATAAAATCTTTGGATGATGTAGTAATGAAGCAAGGTTCCCTATATAGCTTCTATAAGACTGAGCTTCTATGTCACAGAAAAGACATAAGTATAGCCAATGGTGTTGCATTTGATCATAAATGGAAAAAAATGTACTATATTGATTCTCTATGCTACGGTGTTGATCAGTATGATATTGATCTGGACCAGGGAACTTTATGTAAGATCTATGTTGTTCTGCTATATTTGAAATTAAAAAATATATATATTTTAGCAAATATGAAGACTGTATTTTCAACTAAGCACCATGGATTAAATAATAATGTTTTATGCGATGGTATGACTATAGATACCAATGGTAATCTCTGGGTAGCGTTATTTGGAGCATCTAGTGTATACAATATTGATCCAAGGACAGGAGGAGTTCTGCAAGTGATCAAGTTTCCTGCTGTGCAGGTCAGTCACAACTTTAATACTTATATAATAACATATTATTTAAGTCCACAGAGAATCCATACATTCGGTGAAATAAGCTATATAGCCTATATAGCTTATTTCTTATAGCTATTATAAGGCTATTCTTCCACATTATCAATCCATCTCATTCTGACATCCTACCAATGTGTCCAGCCCATCTAAGTCTCTGCACTTTAATGAATTTCACAATATCTGGATCGGTGTATAACTAATATAGTTCAAAGTTGTATCTTCGACGCCATTGCCCAGTACTGGTAGATTATGGACGAGGTCGTTCTTAGACGTGAGTAACACAAGAAAAAATAGTTAATAATCAACAAAAAGGCCTTTGCCTACCTGCCGTCTGCCATTCTCGCAAGGTGGCCTAACCATCTAAGTCTCTTTGTCCTGACAATCTGGCTTAATTCGGGTTTCCCGTAAAGCTCTTCTATCTGTGCATTTGTTCGTCTCCTGGCTGTGAGGCCGCTCCCGTTAGGAAAATGTTTCTAATTCGGTTTCTTCGCGGATTCCGGTTCAAAAATGTCCCCTTTAAACAAGTCTGAAGGGTGCCGGGCGAATTTTTTGGGCAGAAATTGTTTAAACAATTTTTTTTAAACAAATTCCAAAAAATTTTTTTTTTAATCTGGAAAACATTTTTTTAGGTTTTTTGGGTTATTCTAAACAAAAAAAGTCTCTTGTCGTTTTTCTCTAATGTTGATTGTTTTCGAGTTATAAGCGATTTAAAGTCTGAAAAACGCGAAAATTCGCATTTTTGAGGCTTGAAAACACATATGTAAGTTATTACTTTTGAGGTTACCAAGTATCTAAATGGAAGTTTAAACATTCAACATCAAGATTGTGAAGAGTAATCGGGGCTTATTTCAATTTAGACCGTTGTTTTTTAATTGTTAAATATGCGCGTACACTCGATTTTTCAGCCGCCGCGGCGCGGCGCGGCGCGCTAGAGTGCGCTTCTATCGTACTTATGCATAGTTTACATATACACTTACGCAAAAAAAACCCGAAAAAATCCTTGAAGTTTATTAACATAGTTTTTTCCATAATTTATTTATGTAGGTATTAATTATTGTCATTGGGCTAATTAAATAAATCAATCATCGCAATGTAATAACCGTATATAGTTTTTTTTCTTATAAATTTGAACAATATAATTATTATTTATTGAGTATATATTTATTTATATCAATTGTAAATAATATTTTTAAATTATTATTTAAATAATACAATGCAGTAAATATTAATATTAGTAAACTTAATTTTAAATTGCGCGGTGTTTAAAAACAATATACTATCGCAAAAATGCAAGTTTTTACCTGTTTAACAATCGCGCGCTCATACTTGATTTGTTATTACTTAAACGATCATTAGGAAGACTATTGTTTAATGCCCATTAAAAGGGTATTATATTATTAATTTGTTATTAAAAAAATTGTGAATGGATTTAAAATGTCTTTTTCCGTACCTGTTCTTAAATGAAAACTTACCGAAGAAAATTTAGTTTGTATTTTTTGTAATAACATCAACAATATTAAGTTAGTGCAAAAACCTAAAGTAGATTTTTACATAACAACACAAAATGCTGCTCTACGACGAAAAGACAGTGTGACTGAAAAATTTAATTTAATCTAGCCAATATACCTTGTACCTCTGACGCACTTTACCAACACTTGTTAAGAGCTTTCGCTAAAACATATATTTGGCGAAATGCCATATATTCCCGCTATCAAACTCTCGATTTTACACAATATGGATATTATATGTCTGATAGTGGTGGGTTGGGAAACCGTGCAAATGCAAAAAGACTTGCAAAACTAATGCTTGCAACTGCAAGAAAAATCATGTCAACTGTGTACCACTGTGGGTTGGGAAACCGTGCAAATGCAAAAAGACTTGCAAAACTAATGCTTGCAACTGCAAGAAAAATGTCAACTGTGTACCATTATGTGGATGTGATTTAGATTTTTGTGAAAACAAAGATACTTTTACTGAGTGATATTAGTGTGTTATTTAACAATCTTTTGTATAAATATTTTATGTAACTATTATTAGACTTTAGACGAAATTTATATTATAACTCAATTGGTATAAATAAATATGTACTCAATAAATAATAATTATTTGTAAGTATATGTAAACTATGCATAAGTACGATAGAAGCGCACTCTAGCGCGCCGCGCCGCGGCGGCTGAAAAATCGAGTGTACGCGCATACTTAACAATTAAAAAACAACGGTCTAAATTAAGATAATCCCCGATTACTCTTTACAATCTTGAGGTTGAATGTTTAAACTTTAATTTAGACACTTGGTAACCTCAAAAATAATAATTTACATATGTGTGTTCAAGCCTCAAAAATGCGTATTTTCGCGTTTTTCAGACTTTAAATCGATTATAACTCGAAAACTAAACTTTAGAGAAAAATGACAAGAGACTTTTTTTTTAAAATGGCCCAAAAAACCTAAAAAATGTTTTCTAGATTAAAAAAAATTATTTTTGGACTTTGTTTAACAAAATTGTTTAAACAATTTCTGCCCAAAAATTTCGCCCGGCACCCTTCAGATTTGTTTAAAGGGGACATTTTTGAACCGGAATCCGCGAAGAAACCGAATCAGAAATACTTTCCCAACGGGAGCGGCCTCACAGCCTGGACTAATAGTATTTTACTGTTTTGAATATATTACTTAAATTACTCCATTTAAAGATGTTTAGCATATTTTCTGTGGTTCTTGTTTATAACCCACGTTTCGCTTTCATACAGGACCGTGTGTTGGATCACTGTCGGGTATAGTCTTAATTTTGCCTATCTGGAAATGTTTTTTGCTCTTAGTAGTTTATGTAGAGCTTCGGCCGTCTTTCTTCCTTTTGAAATGTGTCTTTGAATTTTAGGCCCTTTACATGTTGTTTAGGGTTACTCCTAAATACTCAGATTTTGTCCGTTTTTTAAGCAGTCTTTTCGTTATTTGTTCTAGTCTTCAGTTGTGTGTCTTCATATGTGGTCTGCCTAATTTACATATACTTTGTTTTTTTGCTCATTTATAATCAGCCCTTACTGTTTACCCTTCGCTTCAATGGGTTTAAAATTCCCCAGCAGTTTCCCTTCAATTCTTTTTATTAAAACTACAATGTCCGCAAAGGCCAGGCCTGACCTCTATTGTCATAAATCATACCTTCCGTTTGTATTCCACTTTCTCTCATTATTACTTCCAGCAATAATTTGAAGAGTATTGTTAACAGCGGATCTCCCTGCTTTAATAACCTTCTTACTTCAAATTTACCTGTTAGGCTTCTTTCTATCGTTACTCTATTGTCGGTCTTAATTAAGATCATTTTTACCAGTCTGATTATCTTTTTAGGAATTGCAAGTTCTCTTAGGGTATGGAACAGATGCGCTCTTACTACAGAATCGTAAGCTTTTGTTTGGAATCTATGAAAGGGAGATTTAGCTTAATTTGCTGCTTGTACGTACTGAAATCATTTTTAACACGAATATTTGATGCATGGTGGATATGCTCTTTTTAAATATTTCCCGGTATTTAGCAACCTGCTCGTTTTAAGTGTCTTTTCAGTCTACTTCTTATGACTCTGGCGAGTCATATGTTACATCCAGAAGAGTAATACTCTTGTAGTTCTCGCACACTGTTTTATCTTCCTTTTTATGAATGGGACATACTATTGCCTCTGTCTAGACTTTTAGTATTTTCTCTCGCACCTAAATTTTCGTCAGCGTTAATAATTCTGCAGGAATTTTGCAGTAGGAGTCTCCATTGTTTCCACCATGTAGCTGACTTTCCCTACCGTTTCCACTTTCTTCTCATTATGTCCATCCAGTTCTTTATTAAGTAGCTTTATGAAATGCTCCTGCCACCTTTCTAACTTCTCCTTCTTATCTCCTATTAGGTGCCCTTTTCTTTAGTCTTGTAGTAATTATGTTTTCTTTCGCCTTGGTTACTGCTCCTTTTTGCCTTCTGGTAAATTTCTCAAATTTTTGTTAATATAATGTTCTTTAATCTCTAAGAGTTTTTACCCATAAGCTCATTTTTATCAACATTGCTCAGTATACCTTCTAATTGATCTATAAAGCTTCTCTTTTATTCTCACCCAACCGATTTGGGTACCATACAAACTATGCTACTTTATCAAGTACAAATTCCACTGACAATATTTTATTACTTGTTCTTTCAACTTCTTCTATGTTTTAGTTCCCCATCATTCATTATACCAACTCCATTCCTTATGTTACTTTTCCCTACATACCACAATTTGTATCTTTTACCTATTTCTTTCGCCCTTTTTTCAATTCATCTAGGCAATAATATTTTTCAGATTACATCTGTAGCCTTTGGAGGCCGAAATTTGGACGAGCTCTATGTTACTTCAGCTAACCTTGATGGAGAAGAAAAAGGAGAATGCCCAGGCACTCTCTTTCGAGTTACTGGTTTGTCTGCAAAAGGTCTACCTCCAGACGAATTCGTCGCTTAGAAAATATTAACGTTAATCTGTAGAACAAGCACTGTGTGGTTGTAATTATATAAATAAAGATAATCTAAGGAATTTTATATTATATGAAGAATAATATCTACAAATTTTGTTTAATAAAAGTTAGTTGTCGAATAAAAGTCGTGCTGTTTTTCTGTTTCCTAATTCTTTTCAAGCCCCCTGTTTTAAAAAGGTTTGCGCTGCAAGGGTTTGAAGATGGTGTTAATCGAATGTGAATACAACCTTTAAACGATCATATCTCGTTTTATTTTCAGTTTATAGAAAAAAAATTCAATATCTTCAATAAAAAAACAATGTTTTTGTATTCTAATACATTTTTATGGGAATTTTTTAGATAGGTACATATTATGTCAGTTACTGTTGGATTGGAACTTAGTGCAAAACTTAGAGGATGATTATTTAAATATAATAGATTAAATTGGTCTTTCACCTCTAGTAAAACTTTACCGTAAATATTATTAGTTTCGCAACCCCATACTATGTTTTGAGTGTTAAAGTCCCCTCCAATGATGAATTGAGAAGGAATGTGTTGAATAATATCTGGTTCTTTGTATATGGATATCGCATGTATAAGTTTATTGATACAAGAAAGTTTAGTTGCCACGCATGTAAAAGTAAATTAAAACTATCTAACAAATTTATGTCTACTATAATTAATGTGCGCAACACATCTTGGCGATCAGGTCTAAAGCAATAATAACCAGAGAAGTTATAAACTTTTCCTGGTTTAAACTATGCTTCTGATTATATATATATATATATATATATATATATATATATATATATATATATATATATATATATATATATTTTATTTTATTTTTTTAATTGAGTTGCCTGACCCCAGAAAAGATGTATGATAAGATAACTTATTTCACAGTGTTTTTTTTATAATTAATTTAATTTTTTTCCACTGCCACAGAGCTATATAAGAACGAGATTTTTACGAAAAAATTCAATCATTTAATATTATGTCAAATTCGTTTTTTTTTTAATTTATTATGGTTGCCTGAGTCAAAAAAAGTGTTTTATACGATAAATTTGATCATATTATTTTGTTTGACAACTAATTTTTTTTCTACTGCCACAGCGCTGTATAAAATTAATAATTTTTCAAAAAAAAAATGTATTGTATGGTAGATTTATTTTTTGCATACAAAAAAATAATTTATATCAAAGCTAAATTTGTTTTGAACACATAATACAACAATACAAATACAAAAATAGTTTATCTATAAATATATAACGATACAAAACAGAATGTCTTTCAAAAGTAACAATCACATTATTTAAAAAGAAAGTCTTTCTTTAATTCATATTTCGGCATATTTTCCCTTGATTTCAGCCTGTTCCTTATATAACCGTCTCTTTTTTCACTTCCACAGACAGAAGCTGAACCTTCTGTTACTATTTTGACGGCCCTCTCAGCCGCTTGTGTGTGACAAGGGTATGATTTTACGTATGCCAAAAGACTGGTTTCAGGATTTTCAACAACTTCCCTTAGTTGGTCTTTTGATAGCTTCATAGTTACAGGAGGCTCTGTCCATAAAACTTTCTGGCATTCGATAATCTCAAAGTAATCCTTACTGCCAAAAAATAATTCTGGTACTACGAAATGTCGCTGATCATTGTAATTTAACTGTCTGCTCTTCAAAATTCTTTGGAACCCCAATTGTCTTATGTGTTTACGTTTATCAAACAACATAGCCAAAATAATATTTTCTGGGCTCCCAAAGTATCCATTTCTTTGAATACATTTATAGACTATGTCTTTCAATTCTGGTAGTAAATAGTCGCAGAGTCTTATTGTCTTGAATAGATGCCTTGCACCATAAATGCATGACGGGTGAGTCTTAATACAAAATCACATGGGCGCATACACTTTCATTACAAAATGGCTTAGTATTTGTAAATTTTCCGATGGGTTTCTGGTTGCTACGTATAACCGAAGGATACGGGAAGCAGTGGTAAGCCACCGAGAATGAACCATTTTTCCAGGCTGTCTCTTAGAAAGTTTTTCTGAACAAGCACCACTTTTCACTGCTTGACAAATATCGTACAGGTATTTTACTCAACTGTCGGTAAAACACTAAAAATAATTTAAGTGTCGCTAGGCCGTTTAATTGATTGAAATATTGGTTTACACTTACACCACTGCAAAATCTGCAGCATAAGCGAAGCGTTGACCTCCAATGTCACGTTATTTTAAGAATGATAATATATTATAATCGGTAATATTAACTTTGTTTATACTAACGTCTACTTTATTGTTATTGGAGAATTTCGGCACACTCTTTGAAGTAGGTCCCTAAAATAAATTTTTCTCTACTTATTAGTTAGTGGAAAAATACGCAAATAAAGTTTACTATACGTTATAAAGTATTTATCAAACCGCCAGAACAATACAGATTTTATTTAAATTTTTTAAGTTACAAAATAAATAACCCTGATGTTTCAAAAATTATATAATAAAAAAATATGAAGATCTGCGTTTAAAATAATTATTATTTTTTATTTTTTTCACTGCCACAATGACCTTTTATATTAAAAAACTATAGAGTCTTGGTGGCAGTGGAAAAAAATATTTTTAGCTACTCATTTTGGACTTAAAATTTGTGTTTTAGTATAACTCAACTTTTTTGACCACAGGCGTTGTTATGTTTCAGAAAAAATTTTGTCGGCCCACCCTAATATATATATATATATATATATATAATATATATATATATATTATATATATATATATATATATATATATATATATATAGATATAGATATATATATATATATATATATATATATATATATATATATATATATGAGCCGCTCAGAGAAAAAGTGGTATAACTCACAAAATTTGAATTTTTGAGATATACCAGTTGTGGGTACTTAGTGGTGTAATGTGTTCCATAAAGAAGTGGTATAATTAAAATATTCAAGGTTATTGAGATAATAGCGGTGTATTATTTTTCCTTTGAACGAAGAGCCGCGCGCTCTGTGGAATAGTGGTATAACTCATAACACCACCCGTCATCGTGCCTCACCCGTGTGCTGTCGGTAGTTCTACGATTTTCTCTGTCATGAACAGTGAGGTTCTTCTAATCGTATTGTTTTGTATGGTTTTTACCTGATTCACGATAACTGCATCAGATTAACGACTAAATAGTGTGTTTTTTTGCTTTTTTGTATAGAGAAACAATGAATAGTGTAAATATTTGTGAAAATAATACAGTCAGTGACGGAAATAATGTACGAAAAGGCAAGAAACATGTACGGCACGATGGCGATCATAAGCGAGTTAAACGTTAAACACAGAGGAATGCTGGGAAGGAGTATCTGACAAGCAAAGGCAAGGTTATACCCGCAAAGACTTTTAAGAATACAACTTGTGGGTGTGTAAAACGCTGCAATAATTTTGTTAGTGAATTGGACAGAAAGGGGCTGTTCTCTCGTTTTTGGAGTTTGGGGATTTCTCTAGTTCCAGATTTTACAATAGGTGATATTACAAACGTATCTCAAATTAGGCAAAATCAAGAACATGCCAGTGGTGGAGTTTCAATTTTTATCGAGAATTCCTATGAATATAGCACTTATTCCTCTAATAACAACTCTAGAAGCTGTAGCTTTATGCTTAGTAGGTACACTAAAAGTCAACATCTGCAGTCTTTACATCGCTCCTAATTCTGATCCTGAAGTATAGCAGATATTTTTAATCTTTTATGTCAGATTCCTACACCTCGAATTATACTGGGAGATTTTAATCACATAATTCATAATAAAGCTTAAAAAAATTGACAAAAATGGGAAGAAAAATAGAAAGTATCCTAAATAATCTCAATTTAAATCTAGTTTATGACGGCAGGAATACTCTACATAATGCAGCAACAGGAGAGTTTTTAGCAATTGATTTGTCAATTTGTGAACCAAATTTGCAACCTAGTTTATCGTGGGACGCTTTACCTGATCTAGCCAACTGGACATTGTTCTCAACATTGATTTCTTCATCAGATATGAATCTTAGAGAAATGTTAAACTCAGAACAATATATTAACAAAAAAACATTTTTTTTTCAATGAAGTCATTATTGATGCAGCGAGTATATCCATTGGAAAAAACAGCTTTTCATCCAAAACATTTACATGTACCGTGGTGGAACGATACGTGCAAACAGGCAATAAGGGAATCTAAATCGACTTTTAATAGATATAAACGATATAAAACTACTGAAAATTATTTGCAATTTAAAAGAATAAGAGCTAAATGCAGATTTATTATTAAAAAAAGCAAGCAAGAGTTATGGCAAAAGTTTAAATAAGAAAAAATATAATAATTTAAAAAAAGAAATGACAAGCGCTTCATTGACGATTAAAAATTTTTTTTTTAATTAAATAGGCCCAAAATACTTATCGAAATATGATAGAACAAGGTTTTTACTTGAATTTACGTTCGTGGTGAATTTAAAAATAATAATTTTTTACTTGTGCCTTGTGTGTTAACTCCTTTTCGACTGGGCGAACTTTTGAACCTTATTTTGAAGTATCTCATGAAAGCAAATGTGTAAAAAAATCTCATAGCAATATTTTTCCGAACGAACCCGAGCTTTTTGCCTTATCTATACAAAAAATAAGCGTATTAAAAATAAAACATTAGGAAAAATGCAGAAGAAAATAAAAAAAGTAGTTTAAAAAGTAAAAAAGATAGCACTTGAGAAGCATAATTATACAGCCCTAGAAGAAGACTTGTTTTTCTTTAATATTTCTTTGAATTGCGGTTACTTGTGGCAAGATATTTTTTAAACACAAATACCACCATAGTGATAAGAAACACAGATAATGTTTATCATTAGTTCCAGTTTATAAAACGATTTTATATACCAAATAATCGTATCTAGATAACTATATTTACGACAGTAACAGTACAGGTTGGATATTTATCACTAATATTTGTTTTGTGATCTCATCGTTTATAGACGTTCAACGTTTATCTGAAAACTACACATTTTTTACTAAGAATGGCCCTTGTTATTGAAAAGGTAGTGGATGGATTAACCTTTGCAGAATCGCCTTATTGGGACGCAAACAATCAGTGTCTCTATTTTGTTGACCTTATGGAAAGTACAGTTTTTAGGTACGCACCGAGGAGCAAGCGAAAATTACGGCAGGTTAAAATAGGTAAGTAATATCAAAAGCCATAATTACAGATGCCAAATTATTTATTAGATTTTATTGTACCTCAGGGTTCTTGCTTGAGCTTAAAAATACTTTAAGTTTTAACTAAAGTTCGATAAAAAAAGGAGTAGAAGGAAATAAATAAAATTCAAATAGGTTCAATACAATTAAATATAATCAGAAATATCAATGTTCTTATCATAAAAAATTTTAACAGCGCAGTCCAAAATTGTATTTGCTTTAAAAATTAACAAATACTGCTTTATGAAAATAATAAAAAAAGAAAATTCTTACAAATTAATTTTATTATTTGTTTCGTTTCAAATTTTATGCCTCTGCAATATTATTCCCAAAACACACGGTTGTGAAACGTCCCTAGTTATCTGCAATGTCTCTAATTGCGTTAATCAAAAACTCTTCAGCTGAATTCTTTCCTTTGGGCTTTTACATGTACTCTAGCTTAAACGTCCTAACAATCCTTTTGATCTCCTTTGGTTACGAGAAATCTCCTCGTCTACGATTCTCCTGATGAATAATAACTGGTTTGTACTTACAATGTGCAAAAACTTAAACTGCAACTTCTCCCAATCATCATTCATAGATCAGTACTGCTACCATTTCTTTTACTCTTTGTCAATAATGGCTTTTACCTCAGGATTCAATGTTCTTACTTTTAAAGTAAAAAACAGATAACTCATCCTTCTTCACTTTCATAATCTATCATAATCCAAAATCTCGTTTGATCCTTTCGTTTTAGCCAATAATTTTTACGTATGTCATAAACAAACTACTACTACCTGTCGGTTTATAACTTCGGTCGGTTTTTGACCTCGAATTGACACTTAGTCTAGTTGTTCCATGGGCCTTCTTCTATGACCTTCTCTCTCAGTTCTTTATTTATTCCTTCGCTCCAACTTTTTCTCGGTCTACCTCGTTTTCTCTGTCCTTCTGGTTGCCATTTTAATATTACGTTTGGTATTCGTTGTTCATCCATTCTTTGTATCTATCCGAACCAGATAAGTTGTTTTGTTGTTAGGTCATCTGTGATTGTTCATTTGATTCACATTATTTCTTTAATGCGTTCGTTGATAATCGTTTTTTTTCTAGATCTTTCTGCGGTTCTTCTCCAAAAATCCATTTCCGTCGCCTTCAGCTTGCCAGTGTTCTTTCTTTCAGTGGCCATACCTCACAGCTGTATACAGTGATACTTTTTACTATAGTCTTGTTGTAAAAACAACATTTTATATTAATTTTAGTATAATTTTTAGTTCTCACAAATATTAGTTTGGATTTTATGCTACAGACTGTACTTTTTGCCTGCAAAATATTTGTGCCATAAATAGCTTATAAGGGTTGTTTGAGTGGTAAAACTGACGCCGACCTTGTCGGAAATTTTAGGTAAAGATTCAATTCAAAATCTCTCGCAGATGTGACTAGAGTCTCAAACTGTGCGGTACCGCCGGTACCTAATCTCTCTCTTCGCCGCCAAAATGCAGTGAAATGTGTATTTGTTTTCGCGATAGCTCGCGCGCCCCTAAACGCCGATAGAATAATGGACTATGTTTTAAAGCGAACTCTTTCATTAGTATTAGTGGTTGTGTAAATATTCTCTTGTTATTAAATGTGTAGATTCAATTAATTACGCTTATTTTTCTCTAAGTACAACCCCTATTAAATCAAACACATAAAGAACCAGCGCCTTGAAGTTCTGCTTGCATATATCGAAGGAAACACTCTTGTACAGTCCATGGTCCTAAAATATTTGGAACTGTACACGCACGGGGAAAGGAATTTAATAAGCTTTCCCCACAACAATTGGTGGAAATCGGAGAAAACTCCATCATTGTTTGTGGTCCTTACTCGACGGATTTGTGTTTGATGTTGGCATTTGTACTAACTAGTTTCGGATATTTAGATGAATGTATTTAAAAGACTCTCGAAAAGACTAAGGTGTCGCGATAAACTCTTAAACAAAAGGACAGTAGTGAAGTTTATATAGTGTTTGTGCCTGTTCCTCCAAACCACTGGACAAATTGGGTGAGATTTTTCCATATTATAACTTCGCTTATGCACAGGGTAAATCGCTTTTCAAAAAGACTATCTCTTTAAAAATTTATCTGTAGACATTTGTAGACATTTACCGGGTGTGCAAAAAATTTAATTGCAAAAATAAACTCTCATGTGTGATTTAAGACTTTTACCGCGTTTTAATAAACTATAAACTTTCTCGCCGTGTGCTACATGTTATTATATGATATAAATATTGACTCTATTCTCGCCGTGTGCTATACATGTTATTACATAATATAAACATTATTTACTCTATTCTCGTTGTGTGCTATACATGTTATTATATACGATAAACATTACTCACTCTATTCTCGCTGTGTGATACTCGCATTATTATATAATAGAAACATTAATTTCTCTAAAGAATTCGGTGTTTGCACGACCGTAGGCAGTTATTTTTGGAGTAGCACTGTTTGTTGAAAGTCGAAATGGAAGATCTTAAGAAGAAGAGGAAGCCGCTGAAGGCCAAGGTTACTAGAATAGTAAACTGGCTACTAGAAAACGCAGATGCAGAAACTGACGGGCTCCAGTTTCAACTCAGACACACCGAATTGAAATCATGTTATCTGAAGTATGAAGAGGTGATGGATCAGATAGAAGAAATCGATGAAACCGATTCTGAAACAGAAGACAGAGCACTCATGGAGAAAAAATACTTTTCTACACTAGCTGGACTTCAGCATAAGATGGAAGCATTGAAGTTACCCTCCCACTCGCTCAGCTCAAACGATACTCCGTCAACTGTAGCCACTGCTAAAGTTAGGTTGCCGGAAATTACAATGCAGGTTTTTTCTGGAAACTTCGCCGAATGGAACGCGTTTTATCAGCTATTTGAAACGCTAATAATTAATAATGTGGAGCTGAACAATGTGCAAAAATTTATATATCTTAAATCCTTCTTAAAATATGAACCTTTGCACTTAATTGAAAACATTGAAGTTGTAGAAGAAAATTTCCAGATCGCTTTGGACACGCTCAAGGATCGATACGAAAATAAATCGCGTGTAATTAGTTTACATATTCAAAAATTGTTAAAGGCTCCATCTTTAGCTAAAAGTAACTCAAAATCATTACGAGAATTTTTAACTCTTTGCAAACAGACTTTACTCGCACTCAAGAATATGTCAGTACCAATCGAACATTGGGATTTATTGTTAATCGAAGTATTTTTACAAAAATTAGATTTCGCTACTCACCGGTCATTTGAATATGAAATAGGTTCAAAGGTTTTACCTACTCTCTCACAGTTTTTTTGTTTTCTTGAAAAAAAGTGTGATATCCAAGAAAAATTAAACGTTTCTGATAATGATAGAAAATTTACTAAGCCTCAGTTAAAAACATCTTTGTTTTCATCAGTTAACTCACAAACAAACTCTTTTTCAGATACTAGTTGTATATGTTGCAAAAGTAATTCGCATAAAATTTATCAATGTAATGATTTTAAATGTCTCTCTTTACAGGAAAGATTTAATTTTGTAAAAGGTAAGAAACTTTGTTGGAATTGTTTGGGTAATAAACATTTTTCTCAAGATTGCAACTCTGCACGCTCATGTAGTATATGTAAGAAAAGACATCACTCGCTCTTGCATAGTAACCCTGAAAATGTCTCTTCCTCTAGAAACACGAATAAGCAATCTTTCCCGATTGATCGCAACCCTCAAGCTCCCAAACATTCTCAAGGTTCTTCCAGTCGTGTCGCTCACATACCTACTCCGCCTTACAGTGCTCATATCCAAAATGAAGCTTCTACCAGTTCGTTTAAACCTCCTTTAGAAGTACAAAATACTGCAGATTCTCACACAGCCACTTCTCTCTCTGCTTTATCAGTTAAAACTGATGTATTGTTGGCTACCGCTTTAGTGTCAGTGTATTCTAAAGATGGCAGGCCTATGCATGCCAGAGCGCTCCTAGATAATGGGAGTCAACATTCATTTATTTCTCGTGATTTGGTTGAGAAGTTAAACCTCACCCCTTATTTTAAACAGTTACAGATATCAACCATATCCGAAAACACCTCATTGTCAAATCAAATGATTAACATAGAATTTTTTCCCTATAATGTGAAGGATAGAAGTTTCAAAACCTCTTTTGCTGTACTTGATAGTATAACCTGCAGACTTCCTAAAGCTACCCTAAATAGAAGCAAAATTAATGTTCCCCCTAATCTCACTCTCGCAGATCCCTCGTATTCTGTTCCCGGTAAAATTGATTTGCTTCTAGCTGGTGACATCTACAGCGAATTATTGACTGATGGATTCATACGTTTAGGAAAGAATCTTCCCATTCTTCAGAATACCCACTTGGGTTATGTTATTTTTGGTACTCTTCCCCCTCATGTCTTTCATCGTAGTTCTTCAAATTTGGCTATTTCTCAGTCAAATGTTTCTCTCCTTGTTCAGTCCGAATCCGAAGAGAATAATTTAGATAAATTAATTCAACAATTCTTCGAGATTGAAGAAGTTCCGCACGTTAGTAAATTAACCCCCGATGAGAAATTGGCTGAACAAATATTTAATAAAACCACTCGTATTTTACCTTCGGGTCGTTTTCAAGTAAATCTTCCACTTGTCTCCGAAAATGCGCATAAAGGATTAGGCGAATCTTTTAAAATAGCTCTAAAGAGATTTATTAATTTAGAAAATAGACTCTTAAAAAATGAAAATACATACGCTCAATATAAGTCTTTCATTAGTGAATATCTTCTTCTCGAACATGCTAGAATAGTCCCTCTCTCTCTCACTAATGGAAACTTAGAAAATAAATATTTTCTCCCGCATCACTGTGTATTGAAGGAAGAATCCTTAACAACCAAACTTAGGGTTGTTTTCGATGGTTCGATGAAAAGTTCTAGTGGTTATTCGCTAAATGATATCCTCCTCAAAGGTCCTACTCTTCAACCGGAACTTTTTGACATTTTGCTACGCTTTCGATTA